TTTTTTTTTTTTTTTGATTCAAGTTCGAAGTATCATGTCGGATAGTTTTTTGTTGTTTTTATTGGTAAATATGTAATGCTTTAACCATTTTGCAACCATTAAAACGTTATCTTTTTAATTTATGTTATTTTTGTAACCACGGTGCTTCCCAGTGGCACAGCGGTATGTCTGCGGACATACAACGCTAAAAACCGGGTTTGATTCTTTCTGGTATCTTAAATGTATTGTTTCTTTCTGTTTCACTTTGAATAACGAGGTTGTTTTCTTATATACTTTAAAATTTAATGTACTTGTGCTTATAGCAAAGCTACTAAAGCTATCTGTCGCCGTCCCTAATTTTGAACTACTAACCGGAGTGATAGCCACCAGTCAGCAGCACTTTGGTACCAATCATTCGCTTTCAGGAATTGTCTGTCATTCTTATAACGCTTAAATTGTGGAGAATAATTTGTGGTATTGTGCGGATTCGAATTCGGTTCGCCAGTCTCAAAATCTAGACCTCTTCCTAAGTGGCCAACCCACGCCCCATTAAACTGAAAACTATGTTGCTTTTATTCAATATCTCCTTGAAAACTGTCCCTTTTAAATTTTAATTTTATCTCATATTTAGCCCCCAGTAGCTTTTTAAGTCTGTGAGTTTATAACACTAAGAATCGAATTTCGATATCTATGGTGGGTACAGCACAGATAGTCAATCGTGCAGCTATGTGTTTAACTACAAACAAATAAGATCTTATCTTTAAATTTGAGTGTGATGTTTAATAAATTAGATTTTTCGTCTTCATTCCCTGTTAACATTAAGCATTAGTACTATCATTTTAAATTATTATCATTTAATTGTTATTTTAATTTATTTCTAATGTATTGAGTCCTTCATTAATCCTGCTTCCATTTTTCTGGTAATTCAATGCAAGTTTATTTTCTTTATATCGCGTTGTTAGTTTGAATAATTTTTCTTTTTTTTTGTAACTCGCTTGTGCAGTGTTTTCTTCCTGTTAAAAAATCTTATTCATCACAATGTCTCGTTTTCAATTTTTTATCTACTTCAACTTTTTTCCTATTTCGTTAGATTCATCCACATGTTTTCTTAAATTTTATATCATTTAGTCTTTTTTATTTCAGAAACAAACTGAAATATAGACAATATGTGTTTTATTTGCACATCTTTCCTTTGACATATGTCTTCTCACCTTACCTACTTTAAAATTTACCTCATGCATATTGTGCTTTTTGTTTTTTTTTCAGTTCTTCAGTTGAAAGTATTATGTTCAAGCCTTGACGAAAGCAAACTTCTTAACGCGAAGCTTTTAAAGTATGATAAGCGAGTGATACCAAAAGAAAACAAGGATACTCCTATATCGGTCAAAATTGGCTTCCAGATGCGATACATTTCAAGTTTGGTATGTGACACAGATACTTCTATAACAATTTGTGAACATACGTCAAAAAATAAAACCTAAAGACCAATTTGAAATCGTTTGTAGAGTTAATATGCCGAAATGCAGTCTGTCGTATTTAATTATTTTTTTATTTTATTAAACGACTACTGATCGCGGTTAAGGTCGATCAAGATGTTGTACAAAAAATAAGTAGATAAAAAATAAAAATAACTTTTATTGGATCGAAATATTTTTCTCATTTAATTTGTATGTATGTATATCACTTTAGTTTATTGGTAGATATGTACATATAATTGTATATTAGAGATGAAGAATGAGTTAATAAAATATACTTAATATTTTAATCTTTTAACAGTTAAACGTTTTTAAGCGGCACGTAAGCTTATAGGTAGTTTTATTTTGCTCTTGTGCACGATGAATCCAGATTGTTATTTATTTGTGAAGTAATAAAATTAAATTTCTGGGAAAGACACATATTTTCCATCTAGAAAAGGGGGAGGGCTGTGGTGTACTTTATCTCCTACTAAAATAATAAAGTTTCTTTAACAAAAACCTTATTAGGCTAATAGATATCCTGTGTTTACGTATAGTTATGATGTAATTAATAAAGCCATTTCAACTTAGAATCTTTGTTTACAATGGGAGTTCAGGCGTTTCCATAGAAACGTGTTTTATTAATAAAATTATTTCAACTTGACGAGTTTTTCACCACTACTTTATATTCTGTTATGCAATAGTAGGAATATACATTGATTTGATGGCACTTGGAGATTCGCTCCAGGCGAAGAACTTGTAATCATGTTTCACTTACTAAAATATATTTCGTTAGTAAAACTGTAAATTATCAATGCTTTCAAACTCTAGTAACGTACACACCATCTCTGACGTAAATAACCCTTAAGCAGTAATGCGCATGCGTATGACGCATGAGACAATAATACAAATTCAGTTCTTTTTTCGTATATTTTGCGTGTTAAGCAAGATATTTTAAGCAACATTACTGCTATTTGTTGGTTCTTGTTGCCATTTATTATTGCTTATTTCATTTAGTTAAGGTAATTTTGTTTGTGTACTTGTTTTATTTCAAAAATGCCATTATTTATAGTAAGTAGCATTAACTTCAGTTTTAACTTTCACACTGACACTAACTGACTAAGTTAATGATAGTCTCTTAATAGTTAGTGTTAGATTTGACTTTGAGTTTTACGTTTGAGTTATTTGATCGAAAATAGTCTATAAATGGTTTCTATTTATCCTAATTAAAGCCGAGCAATGTTCTGATTGATAACAATGTCTGGCGTTTTTAAAACATTCTTTATGTTTTACAAGTCCAATGATATGTTTGTGTATGTTAACAGTTTTTTTTGTTTGTTTATTCATTACACGTGGTAAAGTCCGGAGAGAAAGATTGTTGGTGATCTCTCAGATCAAGTTGCTATTGTTAAATGTTGACAATATATCTTTATATGAAATGTGTGGAGAAAGAGCTTATATACAAAAATAAAACCACTATTCTGTTTCTAAGTGCAGAAATCTGCAAGTGATGTAGTTGATAAAAATAGTTTGAAGAGACATAGACCGATTTATTATTATTATTTTTTTTTGACTTAAGGATGAGGAAACTAATACGCTCAACGTGGAAGGCTGGTTGCTAATGGTAAGTTTATTGATTTCGTTAAGCAATTTTGATGTTTTTCTTGTATATTTTCCCCCTTATCGATTTAAAATGCTAAACAGGTTATATTATTTGAAAACTACCAATGAAGGCATTTTAATTTATTATTACACCATTTTCAACATACTTAATATGAATATTTATCTATATCAAACTACACCATTAATTGGGGTTATGAAAATTTATTTTCAACCAGTAAGAATATGGAAGTTTTCTAGAACATCTCAATCACTAACGCCAGAGAAGGAATGTCATTTAATTGACTACGTGAATCGATGCTAAAATGTAGCGACTTTGTTATATAACAAGTAGAATTTTAAAATTGAAAGTAAATTTATAATAACATGTCAACTACACTACATCTGACATATCCATGGCCAACGAGGCTTTTCACCCAATTCCAGGGCTCATCAGACCGGTTGGGATATGGTAGATTCAGTAGTGGTTGAGACGCTATTTGTATCATCAGATTGCATGAAGTACATTTATTATGGTGTGGACTAGACTACGGTCAAGTTAATTTATTGAGTTGTTGATTCTCAATGAATCATATTTCCTTCCTGGAGGAACCGAGCGTGGCTTTGTGGGTAGTATTCTAGGCTGTGGACCAAATAGTCGAAGATTCGAGCCGCGATATGCCATTGAATATCCATCGCACTTTCAGCAGTGAGAGGATTATAACTGTGACAGCCAGCCCTGCTATACGAATTTCCTTACCCTATTCCTAAACCTTAGGGTTTCTGACTTGGTCGTTTAGCCGAAGTGTCGCAAAAGGTTTAAAAATAGCAAACTACTTCTCAAGATATTTATGAACAAACAATTCTGTACAAAAGTATGGAAAATATTCAAATTTTCTTATAGAAATCCTTACATTTCTGTGCGCTATAAGAGTGAAAATCAAATCGCTATTCGTTGAAATAAAAAAATAGCCGAAGAGTTAACAATAGCTTCTGAGGAAGCCAAGTGAAAGGGCTTGGAAAAATCACTCGCACTACACTACATGGTATGCGAAATTTGAAACAAAAAACAAACAAACAAAAGTGGTGAAACATCAACTCTTGTTCTATAAAAATTATTACTTCTCGTCTGTCAAGTTAAAGTGAAAATTTCATTTACATTTTTACATGTGACGTATAACACCTAAATACTTAAAATATATTTTATCAGACCTGCAGCAAACTGGAGTATTTGAGACATTTTGTTAATAAACGACATTTAGGTCCAGATAAATAAACAGATATACAGAGGGTTGAGTACATTATATTAAGACTATTTTTAATATGCCAGAAAAAATCACTTGATAAAGTCGCGGTGGTACGTATGTATTAAAATTACATTTTGACATTGCTTGGCGTTCGTAGGTATTGTGATGCAACCGAAAATTGACCACTGTTGGAAAGGATATGTAACAGCCCTTTCAGACTCGAAATATTCATACACTCATATTATAAAGATATGATCAAGATAGGAGATTAAGAATATATAAGACAGAGACATCAGTTTTATTTAATGAAATTGGAAAACAAAGGAATATGGATCAACCTGGGATTCTAGTACCATCCAGAAAAGGGCCTGTAACGAGTCGTACCTCAGCCGTTCTAAGCAAAGTGTAGCGTCTTACAACGGGTGAGAATCCATGGATACACAGGTCATTGGCAAAAGCCGTACACATAGAGGATAATCAAGAAGAATCTCCCTCTGGCAAAGCGACACGAGGTACGTATACACAAATTGATTCAACGACATATCCGTCTAACTTTCTCATTTCCTAAAGCAGCTGAAAAATAAAGCGACTATTCATGTTATTCCATACAAAGGCATACAGGTCAAGTCACTGGATGCAACGCTTATGGATTTCTGTGAAACGGACGTTGGGAAACCGTCGTCTTCGCACACTATACGGCTTATGAAAGGGAAACAGGGAAGAAACTGTGTGCTTTGGACATGACGTAATCCACGCAATGGCTAAACGGTCAGGTCAAAGACCTCTAGGATTCAGGCATAGCCATCCCTGATTTATAATTGCTGACCAGAAAGATAGGACAACCAGACAGAAGTACTCGCCGCATATGCGGAATATGGCTTGGCATGGCCAAGTGGTTAGGGTGATCGACTCGCAATTTTGCAGATCGCGGGTTCGAATCCCCGTTTCACCAGACATGCTCGCCCTTTCAGCCTTGGGGGGCATTATAATGTGACGGTCAGTTACACTATTCGTTGGTAAAAGAGTACCCAAGAGTTGGAGGTGGGTGGTGATGACCAGCTGCCTTTCCGCTTGTCTTTCAGTGCTAAATTAGGTACGGCTAGCGCAGATGGCCCTCGTGTAGCTTTACGCGAAATTCAAAACAAACCTATGCGGAAACTCTTAACCGAATGACGGGATTGATTGCCACAGTTATAACCTCTGCATAGCTTAATGTGCAGAGTGTTTTTAGCGACATATATCGACTCGAACTTTGGGCCTTAAAATCAGCAGCTGTTTCCCTGGTGCTTCAACGGTAAGCTTGAGGAGTTATAAAACTGAAATCCGAGGTTCAATTTGCCGTGATGGACACAGTAAGTTAGCCCATTGTGTAACTTTGCGTTAAAAATAAAACCACCACCACCAACAACAAAAATAATATCCAATTATCCGTAGCCCGGATAGCTAATCATTAGACACGCCTGTCTATTATATTATACAGCAATTGCCGACATAATTTGCCTACTTTCTGCATTGCCCCCCCCCCCACTGGCACAGCGGTATGTCTGCGGACTCACAACGCTAGAATCCGGGTTTCGATACCCGTGGTGGTCAGAGCACAGATAGTCCATTGTGTAGCTTTGTGCTTAATTACAAACAAACAAACTTTCTGCATTAATTGTAGATGTATGATGTTTTACTGGGAAAGTTAAAAGGACGTTATCGAGTATAATCATAATAATGTAAGATTGGGGTAATTTGTAGGGCCAGTTGGAAATAAAACTACAATGCAAACATAAATAAATTAAAGTAGCTCGAATGAAAGAAAGATACGTAATCAAAGTTTTGTTCAAACCTTTGTAGCATATACCTCTATAGTTTTCAACTCCTGTTGGGTCTCGTGCTTTAGGAAGTTCTTCAGAAGTTTTAAATATGACGCTTCGTCATATGAAATTGGAAATGAAAACTGAAATCAGGTGAGATTTGAACCTCCGACACTACTTATGATAACAAATGATATTTCAGTTTTACAATTCGATCAGCTTAGCTCAAGAGTTCTCCCAAATTTCGTCGTTTAAAATTGAGAAATACCATAGTGTAGTTTCTTAAGACATCTGCTAGAAAGGTAAAGTTGCGTGTTCGGGTCTCGCTTCTTCAAAAATATTTACAGTGAATTTCTCCAATGTAATATGCCCAATGGATCATAATTCTTTCACCCAATCCCAGTTTACTTCCAAGCAAGGATGTGGCCTTTCTTCTTCTTTTATTTTAGATCCTGTTTAAGATCGTGGTTTTAACGTTGACCACATGTTTTGCTTTTCCTTACAACGTTTTGACCGATACTTGTTTGAAAAAGACAAATAGAACCACGTAGAACCAATAGAAGTAGTGCATCACGCTTCTGCGTGAAAGTGTTCTGATACTGTCTGTACTTATGAGTGAACAATTAAGCGTTGTAACATGATATTATTAAAATTTGATGCTACTTATAGAAATGGAAGGACGCTGATCTTCAATGGGACCCAGAAGAATTCGGTGGTGTAAAAGAACTTTATATAGACAGTAGCGACATCTGGACCCCTGATATCGCCTTATATGAAAGGTCAGTAGACATCGTTAATTTGTGCTTTACCTAAAATAATACAAAGTGTAATATATATATATGAATGTATAAAAACAGTAAACAGAAATAATATAAATGTATCTTTAAAGATTACATTAAACATTACACATGTTGTTTATTGTTGTTTTAAAATACAGATCTGCAAAAACATTGCTATAATTATAAATGTAATATTAAGTACAGTGTATTTAATAACTACTAAAAGATTTTTACAGAAAATAATGCAGAAGGTTAAAACAAGAGCATATTAGGAGTTATGATAATTGGTTAGAAAACAGCATGTCCCTGAAGGTTTTTATATCGTATTACTTCATGTGTTTTTGGGTAAGTTATTAATTAATTTTTGGCTCTTACGATTAAACGGACTTTAATCTGTGTGGGTCACGCATAGGCGTTACTTTGGATCCAGAAATAAGGAGGGATGGAGGTGGATTGAGAATGGTTTTCATATGCTCTGCAAGAACACACTGAAAATTCAAGATTATTACAACTGAAAGGTGACGAGGAGGATGATATCGCTCCTATCCCATATATATAAAGGCAATGGAGCCATGGAAATTAAGCCCTAGCTAGTTTTACATATTTTGTCGTCTTAGAACGTTTTGGGATTCACTTGACAAAATCTTATATGTTTGTAAATCGTCATTGGCAGGTAGGAATACAGATGAATTATGCAAGTTGGACATATCATTTCAACAATCCCCCCCCCCTTTAGTGGGTAAGCGATAAGTTTACGGACTTATAACGCAAAAATTCGAGGTTTGATTCCTTGCGGTGGACAGAGTGCAGATAGCCCATTGTGTAGCTTTGCACTAAGAAGACGAATAGAAAAAACAAACGTTTCACAATATCTTTCAAAGTATTTATCTTTATTAGTAGTCGATTTTACAAAGCAACATGTTCAAGTTTACCCTCTAGGTGATTCGAGAGAAATCCCGCAAAAATTTCAAGCAAAATTCCAAAGGCATTTCAGTGTTTTATTTTTACTTTTTAACTGCCGTATAAACCAATATTTTCATTGTTTTCAAACACGACATCATCGTCATTATTGACGGTTTGCCGCTTTCTCTCTCTCTCCGTCCCTCAGGTTTCTGATTTTATCAGCAAGTACCGGCCAGGTGCTAATCTAATTGTTGAAAGAAAAAAAAAAAACAAGACAAAAATAACATGTGGTTTGAAAAATGCTGGTATTTTTTACCAAAGTACAACAAGTATTATATCTCACCTGTGTTTTCCCTACTAGTAGTTCCGGCCTTATTAGTGTCTTTCTACGCAATGTTAATCTTTCCAACAGATGAAATTAAGTTACTCTTAGAAACAGATCTCTCCATTCATGTATATGGTGCCTATCCTGTCACTTTTCGCAAGATTGGTGTTGCATTACGATCCCTTTTAAAGCTGTGGTCAACGCAGATCAGCTGGCAAAACACCTCTTATAACGAGATCTTATTTTTGACTATTTTCACTTCATGGCCGGAAGACCTTACATTAACAAATCTGGGGAATATATCAAATTCTAAGTGCACTTTCCTCTCCCAAGAAGTTTCTCTAAGCCCATAACAAGACTTTAATATTCATTAAAAACTATCCTGTTAAAGAAGTCAAGTTTTCTTCTGTTATCAAACACATCTCTTCTAACCCTGATACTCTCCTCCTCCACGTCGTCAGTTCATACTGGTACTTCTGTTGGTCTTGCTCCTAATTGCAGCTCTTATATTAAGACCTACCTATATGACTTTATCTCTGTCTAAACCTCTCATTTGCAGCCTCTCTGTCCAGCCGTAACTCGTCACTCGATACCATTCGAAAAACTTATAGTACAGCCATTCAACTAAAAAAAATCACCGTTACCTATGATTGACTTTGTTCTTGTCTTGAAACTCCTCCTCCAAACTATATCCAATTCTGAATGACACACAGCTTCTTTAACAAAGGGCCTGGCTTGCCCACGTGGTTAGGGCGCTCAACTCGCAATCTGAGGGTCGCGGTTTCAAATACCCGTCTCACTAAACATGCTCGCCCTTTCAGCCGTGGGGGGCGTTATAATGTGACGGTCACTCCTTCCATTCGTTGGTAAAATAGTAGCCCAAGAGTTGGCGGTGAATGGTGATGACTAGTTGCTTTCCCTCTAGTCTTTCACTGCTAAATTAGGGACGGCTAGTGCAGTTGGCCCTCGTGTAGCTTTGCGCGAAATTCAAATAGACAAACAAACTTTTACCAAAACCTCGACTCGTTCTAAGTTGGTTTTTAATTCTTAATTCTTTTTCCTATTTTCGCAAGTTATATTTATCACAAGCTACTTTGAATTACAGTTTTGTTTTTGTTCTTCTAACAAAATTCCCCGAAGATAGCTAATTTTTCATTCAGCTCTTCGTATCTCCTGATTTAACCATCCGTTTCTTGTGTACACACTCATGTTTCTGCCAAACTTTGATTCTGATATTTTTTCTCTTCCTACTAACAAACCTCACAAAAAGAACAAAATGAACCTGGTTTTCTGTTTATGACTGGGCCGAAGAAAGAATGCTGTCACCGAGCACCCTCAGATTCCTCCGAAATATTTAGTATGCTTTCTCTTTTCCACTCTCCATGAAACAACATAAATAGAAAGTAACAAAGTTAAATTACTGTTGGACTAAATCAAAGATAAGCAATGGATGAGAGAAGACATAATAATTTAGGAGTATGATGTTTTATCAGTAACTCGACTGATTATATTAGCCACTAATCCATTTTAAGGACTACTGTTGGTATAGGTATGTCTGTAATAGCTTTAGTATAGACATTTTAATGTAAAATTGAATTATTGTCTCACATATAGTAATAATACTCCGCCACATGGAAAAAATAAATAAAATGTAATTTTGTTTCAGCTCCTCGGCAGATAATTTTTTTCCTCGCGCTCAAGTGAAATTAATTGCGCGAAACACGGGAGAGGTATTGTGGGTTCCGCCTGTAAGTTTTCAAACCATCTGTCCACTTGTGCCGAACAGCTACGAGCAACGTTGTAATTTGACCTTAGGGTCCTGGGTACGAAGCATCAGAGACATAGATGTCCATCCAGATCCTGATACCGATCCGGATGGAGAATCGTTTGTTCGCGTTCACCAAAAGTGGGAGCTGATTGACGTCAACATTATTCGGAAGGATGCCATTTACAGCTGCTGTCCTGAGAATTATCCAGCAATAGTCCATACTCTTCACTTCAAGCTTCGTGAAGCAAGAGGACAGAGGTCTCCCCAGGTCGCAGTATATTGTAATCACTGAGTTGTTTAATGAACCTACTAATATGGTCCACCGGATTATGGACAGTTAAAGTATGTTTCAGAATTTTTGTTAAATTTTCTTTGCTCTCGTTTATATAAACCGTTCTGTTAGAATCAGTCTGTTTAAACCTTACACACATGCTATTTTAGATTCATTGTGGCAATTTCTATTAAACTATAAAGTTTTTACTGCTGAAGCTCAACAGTGATTATCGTGGTTTAATGCATTTTCATAGCTCTGGAATGTTATGTGAAATCTAGAATAAAAGAATTCATTGAATATTTTTCGTTTTAGTTAAATATCTGACTAATTTACTTCCTACCTGGTGGAAATTTTCCATACTATTTTTGAACTTTAACCAACAGATGAAGTATCCTTCGATCACTTTTGAAATTCAAATACGTTATGGAGCATCAACTAATTAATTAATTGATTTATTTCTTCTTTTTTTTTACCCCTACATTGCCCCCATTGGTACAGCGGTATGTCTGCGGAATTACAACGTTAGAAACCGGGTTTCGATACCCGTGGTGGACAAGCACAGATAGCTCATTGTGTAACTTTGTGCTTAGCTACAAACAAACAAACAAATCACCCCAGATCTTATTAGTTACTTTAAGACATCGGCTGTTTAATTATGCATTTACAACCCAGCTAATCAGTGCCTTTGAAACATCAGTAACTCAGATTATGTATTTTGTGTGATAAATCTGAAATATATGATGTTGCGTCATAACAATGGCAAAACGTTTTTGCTTGGAACCAACCTCATAAATTAAGTGGAGTACTTCAGCAGAGGCTACTACAAATATCATTAATATTACATAAACGTTTTACATAACGTCAAGTCTGTTTGAGATGGATGAGGTAACTTAAAATGTGTGCGTTATAAGTCTGAATGTCGAATCCCTCTATTCGGTCAAATAATAGTAAGTTTAGATTGGAGATGGGTATTGTTGACTAGTGGTTGTTTTCCCTCTCGAAATTATAAAATAGCAGATAATTATTTTAAAATTAGCAATTATGTTACTAATGTTTCAATCTAAAATTTTAATTATTGTTTTATATCTTTAGTTTCTTATCAACAAAAAATTATGTTATTGAAAGATTAGTTTTAAGGATACAGCTGTAATCTTAGGCTTGCCAAACTACAACAAGTTCTTTGTCCAAAACATTTTACGGCAAAGCCCTAGAACTTGAGAAGTTCCTTTACATTCTCCATTTTGTTGTTTTTTTGTACTCCCTCCAAGTGAATCACTGGTACGTTTATGGACTTACAATTTTAAAATCCGGGTTTCGACACCTTGCGGTGGACAGAGCGCAACTTACACATTGTGTATATTTGCGTTAAAACAAACAAACCAGACATTGTTGTGTTTTTAGATCCATTGATGAAAGTAGCTTCCGTTATCTTTAGAGATCACAATGGCTACCATAGGCAATAAAGTATTAGTAAGGTTGTGAAGTGTTTGGTGATGGTACTGTTAAATAAAAATTTGCATAAAATTCCAAATATTAGCCGAGCTATAAGCTAGTAAGTTCCTATGCTTATGATGGCTGCCATAAGTTATATTTTACGAATTCTCTTGCGCAGGGAATTAACAAAATATAAAAGTTGTGATTGTTTTAGACTGTAAGAAAGGCAACTAGAAAAGAAGTTTTTCTTTTTTTATTCAGACAAAGCATTAATTACTTTAAGAATTATTCTTAATATTTGCCAGTCTGTGAAAAATATAACGAGTGTTTAGTAATATGAAGCAGTCCACAGTCGGCCTATAAGTAACTTCAGTTCTGTTGGCTTCCCTTTCTTCGCATATCTTCGTGGTCTTGGTACTTATAAAAAAATGTACTTAAATAATTTCTCTGCTGTTACATGTTTTTAAATAAACAATAATGCCCAGTCAGTTTATAATGTTCAATGATGTAGTTACTATTTTCCCCAACAGGTGGCGAGATGTTTCTAAAGCAGCTACTTTGAGTCCTGATTTAAGAACAAAGTAGAACCTCACGCGATGTCTGTTTACTTTTCAACGTGTAATAATTGACACCATTGGCATTATCGTGACATGTCAATGAAATATAGACAGGTTATTCTTGTTAAAAGCAAACATTTGTCGTCAGGTGTCACTGTTATCTACAAAATTACCAGCAAAGTCTTTGTTTGCTGTGTCTCCATTTCAGTTCACTATAACACATTTTACAAAAGAAAAAAAAAGGGGAGGGTATTGTTCCTTAACAAAACTGTTTTTGAAGAATCGTCGACATACCAAGTACAACGTTATTTCATTTAATACAACATTTATTTATAGAATAATCTTTTTACTTATTAACACATCTTTCATGCGTACAAAACAGTGGTTGTTTTACTTAATTACACGTTTAGAGTTATTTCTATTACGTGATTAAAAAAATAAAAACAAACATCGAGAAACATTTTTCAAAACTCGAAGGTGTATTCTTCACCATAAGATTGAAAAGGGCTCACACAACATTTTGTTGCTCTAAGTAGACGTCTAAATAGGGTCAAGTCTAAAAGAATTACGAGCAGTGTTGGAAAACAAAATCCTGAAAATGTTAAGAAACAATGCGCAGTAGTATATACACACAATCATTTTTTTTACAATGTTTCTCCGAGAAGAGTAGTTATGGATATTTCAGACACAATAAAAATAAAGATTTAAAATAATAGTAAGATTAATTGTAATTCCGAGGCGATTTTTCAAATACAAATTGTTTGCTAAAGTACGACTTGACAGTATAAAAACTTGATTACGTATATATCTTATAGCCTCCGCCATTAACTCGCATATAAAACAATGAAAAACACAACAAACCTTTGTTTTCCATTGAAACAAACGAGAAGGTAGACAATAACTAATAAACAGAAACAATTAGATCAACTACATACACATTTTACTCATATATTGTTATCTAACCCTAATCTTGTCGCCTCCCAGCGGCATGTCTTACAACGCTAGAAACCGGGGTTCGATACTCGTGTTGGGCAAAGCACAGATAGCCCATTGTGTAGCTTTGTGCTTAACTTCAAAAACAACAACTGCCCCCCAGTGGCACAGCGGTATGTCTGCGGACTTACAACGCTAGAAACCGGGTTTCGATACCCGTGGTGGGCAGAGCACAGATAGCCCTTGTGTAGCTTTGTGCATAATTAAAAACAAAGCAAACAAACAAAAACAACAACACCCCCTAGTGGCACAGCTGTATTCTGCAGACTTACAACGCTAAAAACCGGGTTTTGATCCCCGTGATAGGCAAAGCACAGATAGTCTATTTGTGCTTAACTTCAAACAAACAAATTAATCTGGTTAATTTTTGTCGTAGTTCAACGAGCTTAATCTTCCTTAACAATTAGTAACTTTGGTCTCTAGATAAAATCAACGCCAAGAATACTTAGCAAAGTATAAATTTACAGTGACTGTAGATTATCCGTGAGATAATTATCTAACACAGAAAAGTGCGTGTTTGAAACCGAAACTCTCAAGCTAACGGGTGATCATTTCTTGCTCTAATCTCCAGTGGCTTTTCACGGAATGTTACCCACAGTTGTTTGAAAACTTGTACACGCACTTTATTTTGTTTGTTAGAATTTTCGCGCAAGACTACACGCATGACCGTCTCTAATTTGTGATTGTTAGACTTGTAAAGTAAGGACTGCTAGTCAACAACACATGCCGCCCACTATTGGGATACACTTGCTTTGAAGAATAGTAGGATTTGATCTTCATTAACGACACTAAAGTATAGAGCGTGTTTCTGTAACAACGGGCCGCGAACCCTGAACTCGTGGATTCACATTCAGAGCATGCTAAACACTAGGTCACGTCCGGCCCACAAGCTTTAAGCGAATTGCTTTTCAAACTTGATATGTAGACATTCCACAAGATTCACGAACATTTCAATATTTAGAAGCAATATTAATTATGCTTGTGTTTTATCTTTGTTATCGCCTTCACACTGTTATTTAGTTATCTTTAGCTTCAATTTTTATTTTTGCTCCAGATATCAACACACATGAATTGACTCCAAATGTCATCACACAACAATTGGTTCAAGTTATCATCACACATGAATTGGCTCTAGATGTCATCACACATGAATTGACTCCAAATGTCATCACACAACAATTGGTTCAAGATATCATCACACATAAATTGGCTCTAGATATCAACACACATGAATTGACTCCAAATGTCATCACACAACAATTGGTTCAAGATATCATCACACATGAATTGGCTCCAGATGTCATCATACATGAATTGGCTCTAGATGTCATCACACAAGAATTGGCTCTAGATATCATCACACAAGAATTGGTTCAAGATGTCATCACACAACAACTGGCTCCAGATGTCATCACACTAGAATTGGCTCTAGATATCATCACACAAGAATTGGTTCAAGATGTCATCACACAAGAATTGGTTCAAGATGTCATCACACAAGAATTGGCTCCAGATGTCACCATACATGAATTGGCTCCAAATGTCATCACACAATAATTGGCTCAAGATGTCATCACACGGGAATTGAAAAAAAAATTCATTTCACTCATTCATCTATTGCAACTTAGCTATACTGTCATGAATATGATATCCAGTTTATCAAATAAATATTTCATGTAACACGCAAGGAAATCCAAGTTATGCAGTCCATATAATATTCGGTGCTCAAGAGGGTCGTTTATTCATGAAAAAAAAAAAAAACGCCAGCACTTCCTATGCTTTGCATACTTTTTGTAAAATATTGGTATATTCTTTGAAAAATCAGTGATTCTACACCCTGGATGGCTTTCGATGACAAGATAATTTATATGGCGATTTATACAAAAAGGAAATTCTTAACTTAATAGCACTCGCCATTTGGGAAACTTTATTCACCTATGCTAGAAATATTAATAAACGGGTCAAAGCATTTGATAGGCTTGTAAGTACACAGCGTCACGCAAGAAGCTGAACCGATATTTTAGAACTTAGACTACTGGTGTCACAACAGAGAAGCACGCACTCTGACAGTTAATGACTGACTGGGATGAGAAACAACAGTTAAGTCAGACCACTGTACGACAGACCATCTCATCTTCGTCATAAACATGACTTGAAAATGGGACGATATTGTTCGTTTTATTCCAATGTTATGACAAAGTATAGACATCCGAGAAACTTTTTAGTCATCAGTGCAAAATTATAGAAAAGGTCGATAATCCTGTCGTGCACCTGAGGTTATTTTCCATTAAAGGATCATAGATTGTAGTGAACTAAAAACAACATTACCCCC